TCTCTCTCTCTCTCTCTCTCTCTCTCTCTCTCTCTCTCTCTCTCTCTCTCTATTTCTCACTCTCTCTCTCTCTTTCTCTCAAATTACCCATTTTCCCTCTGGGATCAATAAAGTATTTTTGAATTGAATTGAATTGAAATGTTGCCATTTCACTTTTTTTAGGCCTCTTGGATTTCTGCATGGGGTCCTTCCAACGACATCTCATCAGGACGACCKGTTCGTGCTCGACGGCAGTTGCAGCTCAGAAATGAGTGGGCAACGTGGAGCGGCTGGTCTGTGTGCTCACGCAGCTGTGGGGGCGGAGCCTCTGTGCGGACACGCACCTGTATCACCAGGTGACGACAGATGTGTGGAAACTAGTGTGAAAGTGATGCAGATTTTTCGTATTATTAGTTGTTTAAAAGTTAAACTATTTAACAGAAACGACAAGGTGTTCCTTGGTTTTTAAGAAATTTAAAATGTTTTCAAGATTTTTTTTACACATTATGTGTAAAAATAGGTTATATCTCTGGGTTTAATTAAAAATAATAATTTGAGACACAAAAAATAAATGATTTTTTTTATCTATTTAAATTTTCAAACATATTTTGAGATATATTTTCAACAAATRACAAACAAATTAAATTAAAGGCTTAACATTTGTTCCTTTGCCTGCAGCCTTTCAGTTTTAGACAAAAAATCCAACCCTGAAAAGTTTTATCTGTTTTAGGTAAACTTTTAAGCTAATATCTAATATTGTTATTAGTCTTTTTTGTGATTGGCTCTCATCAAAATCTAGCTAAATGTCTATGATACTGGCTAAATGGCATTCATTTTTGTGTTTGCTAATATTGATAAGCTGTGGTAGATCTTTAACTGGACTCTAAGGTTATTAAGTTGCAAACGTACAAATAAAGAATCATTTACAAAAGAACAAATGTGTCTATCAACAAGATATTTTTGCTAACTAACCACACAGACTTGTAGTAATTTTGTCACATCAAACTATTTATAACCATAAATTTAACTCATTTCTTTGATTGAATGAATTTCATAATTAGCATCACTTTATTAAACACATTCAGTCATTTATTATTGTGTAATCATTTAAGCATTAAGTTGTAATAAAACTAGAATATCATTTGTTTAATTGTTCAATAATTACTCTGCAGAGCCAGTACTTTTAATTTTCATGTAGTATTTAGTTCACTTCATGAAAAACGTTTTTTTTTTCTGTGTTTCAGGAACCTGATTGGTGTACCRTGTGCAGGAGATCCTCGACAGTATAAGATCTGCAACACAAAGGTCATTTTAGTGTCAAACATAAAATCCTCTGAATGAAAAATCAGTTTTTAAATGTCACAATATTGTTTCATGGTTGCTCTGTGAGTGAGTCAGAGGGGCGTGGTCATTGCTCGTGTTAAAAAGGTTTCTGGGCGTGAGCTGGAGTTTCGTTCACATATCAACTTGAATCATCCCTGCACTGAACCCACATATAAAACAGTTAGATATAAGCTCAGTGATATGTGTGTGCGTGCGTGCGTGCGCGCACGCGTGTGTGTTTGAACAGCCATTCCCTGCTTTCCTGATTGATTGAAGCAAAAACACACAGATGAGCTGCAAGTCTGAATGTGTGCATTTGTTATACKTTTGTCATTAATGTTACAGTTTATTATATTTATGAATTTAGTGATAAAAATCTGTTGGATTTAGTTGCTCCGCTTTAAACGAACCAGAGTTCGTTTCCAGCGTTGGTCCGGACTTTTTGTGCAGGTGTGAATACACTTATGCGAACTTGCGCATAAAATTTGCGCCTTTTTGGACTTCACAGGCCACCGTTACTGAGCTAAATAAACTGAAATCATACCTGTTTCGTCGTCTCCTGCTTAGCAACTCTGCTGCCGGCATGTTGTGGTCAGAACACGCAGAGCACCTCGTCTCCTTTGGGTTGCAGCACACATTTACTGCCGTCGCTCCAAAATTAGAATATCATCATGGAACCACCACTAAATTAGCTGCTTCTGACATTTTAAATGCTATTGCAGTTGTCCTATCAGCAAAAATGTGCGCATCAGAACCGCAGCACACAGGACTTTATTGTTTTCTTCTGGGTCTGCGCGCTCAGTCCCGCCCCTCGTCACCCTCATGGCTTTGTTTACAAGTTATAGTTTGTTTGCAGAAAAGCACAATGTGAATGCAAACCACACCAAACGAAAAAAAATAAAGTCCACTTTTGGTCTGGACCAAACAAGCAACCCAAAGGACTTTCCTGGTCTGAATACACCCTATGTTTCATATAAACTATTTTTTGTTCAGTGATCACTGAAATCTGTAATTGCTCAAATTTATTAAACCCTTTATTTATCAAACTGTAAACCTGACCAACATATTTAGAACATTTAAACAACAAAGAATTGTAAGCCTGACAAAAACCAAAAAAATCTAAACAGTTAAAGTCTTGCACTCTTTAAAGTAAAACATGTCATCATCTCCCTGGTGAGGTGTTTCGGGCATGTCCCACTGGGAGGAGGCCCAGAGGAAGACCCAGGACACAGTGGAGGGACTATGTTTCTCAGCTGGCCTGGGAACACCTTGGGATTCCCCCAGAGGAGCTGGTCCAAGTGGCTGGGGAGAGGGAAGTCTGGGTCTCTGCTCAGGCTGCTGMCCCCGMGACCCGACCCCGGATAAATGGAAGAAAACGGACGGACGAATTCCTTAAAATCCACACAGGGGTTTGAGGGGAACGTTCTGAGGACAGAGAAGTTGACATTTCAACTGATTTGAGTAAAAATGGATATTTTCTCTACATATCAGCCAAAGATTTTAAAAAAATCTGCCCACATTGGGCCTCATGCTAGAACCGTTTGTACGCACACATTTGTTCTTAAGTTGTGCGTACGAGTGATTTAGGAGAATTTGTGGCATTCACCAATGTTTTCGT